GAATTTTCTCCGTTCACCAGACTATCCTGTTGGTACAGAATGTACAGCCAGTCCAGATTTTCCAGAAATTCCAGATTTTCCAGAAATTCCAGATTTTCCAGATATTCCAGTCCAGATGGAATTTAGGTTCTGTAATGATGTCCAGACTGTCAATGGAGTGACAGAAATCATTACAGAGACCGGTACTAATATAGGTTTGATGCAAAAGTGTTCCAGGAACAGAAATAGGAAATTAGGTCCGGACAATTCCCTATCGTCCCGTTATCCAGCTTGGAAACAAAAAAAGGCATCCGCAGCAATGAATTCCGACGAGTCCTGTTTCCGGAATTCTAGTTTTGAAGCAGTCCGACCCGCCTCTGCTTCAAACTTGCCTAGTTCTGTCTCCCATTATTCCTACTCTGCAGAAGTAAGGAGTTGTTGGAAATGTGGGAATCCTGGCCATCAAAAAAAAAATTGCAAGTATAAAGCAAACATTTTTCCAGAACACTTTGGTCCAGAGACGTCTGGATTTAGTCCAGTCCAGACATCCAGACGTTTATGTAAATAGTAAGTATAGGAGTATATATTAATCTTTTTACTGTTTCAGATCCTGTTGTAAATAATCTGAATAGTGAGAAAAGATTCCAGATAGTGTATATAGATATGGTTTACATTTAGGTCCTGCTGTAGATTTCCTGAGTAGATTAAGCTGATTTCCAGATAAGGTAGAAATATAAGTATTCCAGTTTTTTAGTTGGTAATGTATATAGTGTATATTTTGGTGATGAATGAGTTGAAGAAAAAAAAAAAGAAAGTTCTAGCAAGTACGAGGGGTGTGTAATGAAGTATTTTTAACCAGCTTCATTACTAGACTGGTTTTGATCAAAATCTTAGTACCTGAGCCTGATTCTAGTTGAATTTCACCTGTTCGAAAGCTCGAAACCTGGAAACCTGAGGGAGCTGAGTAATGCATTGATTCCTGACTTCACAAAGCTTTTCCTGATAGAAAACTCTCATGAACATCATAACAACCCTAAAGACTTCCATATTTTTCAACCCTTTGCTCATGATATGAAATTTGATTGAATTATCTATCTGTTGAAATGCTTGATGTTTGACTGCTCATAAATCTGTTGTTATTGAATATTTTCCAGCCAAATTCATTCAGTAGCATAAGCAAAGGTAGTAAATCCTGTTCCTGTGCCCATTCAGGGTTGAATATCATTTTTTCCGCGTTTTGTGTTGGAGGTGCACATTTGCTTTTCAAGGACAGATCTAGTGGCCATGGCCATGAGCCATGACAAGGTGGGAGTTTTGACCAATGAGATTCCAGATTTACTTGTCCTTGTGCCAAGGCCAAAGCAGTGCGTAAATACTGAAGACAGCCAAGGATTCGTCACTCTCTAAGCTCGTCTCTACAAGTGTGCACTACCTGCTCGACCTGCTCTTCAAGCTCCTGATTCTCTTGCTGATCTTTTAGTGCTCTCATAGTTCATTCAAAACCAGTGTAAAATAGTATTGTATAGTGATTTCCGGTTACACATGTAAGTCTGTATATTTTTCACCAGTGTTATTCATCCTGTTTATAGCTTCATTTCATTCCTGTTGTTTTTCACACCGATACTCACCCGACCTGTGTAAAGAATCCAGAACTCTGAATTGAATAAACGGATTTTGTGATTGCATATTTCATATTTCCTTCTCTGTTGTCATTGTTTTCAGTTCCAAATAGTTCAATAATTTATTTTCAGTGATTTTCAATATTTTCATTTCTCAAAATTGCAGAATATTATTATTGACTGGCGACTGACACTAACAAGCCAGTTAACAACTCTTCTTCTTCTTTTCCTTGAGAAATCCAGTCCTGTGCACCGGTGTCTCTGTGCTTTGTATCCCGTCAGGCGGTGTTCTATGTTTCATGAACTATTGACATTGATGGAAAAATATAATTAATTAACCTAAAAATCCGATATTAGAAAATTTGAAAAATCGAAGGAAAAGGAAAGATAACTAGAAATTGAATCTGTTTAATTCGTTTAGAACTGTGTTTCCGATTCTCCAGGTAGAAATGATGAAATAGTTGAGTAAATAATCTTCCAGACCTAACCTTAAAATACCAATGACCTGAGAGATATTTTGCTTTGATTCCTGTAATTATCCAGACCAGAAATAGCAACCAGTATTCCAGGCTAGAACCAGGGTTTGTAATTAAAGCCTACACTCCCTTGGCTACTTATTGATTCCAGGTCGATTCAATACCATTGACTCCTGGTTTATACTGTAGGTACCGAGGTAGGTATACCTCCTGTACCTTTCTCCACTGTTGCTACTGTGGGCCTCCTTCCCGACTAAGTTGGGAGGAGCAGGTGAAGTAAATCACCTTTATGAAAAATCTGGCGCTCGAGAATCCCCCCTGTCGAATACCAGAGTAGTCTCCTGTCCTGAACAGAGCGTCTAAGTAAGGGCCCCAGAATAAAGACCCTTACACAGGACGATTAAAAACCAGAATCAGATGATGCATATGAAGAAGTTATAAAGGCTGATCTCTCTCAATTTGACACATCTGAATATGCTCTAGATAATAAATATAATATGCCACTAGTCAATAAAAAAAAGTTGGGTTTATTAAAAGATGAAGCAAATGGGAAAATCGTTACTAATTTCGTAGGACTACGTTCGAAAATGTATGCATATAAAGTACAAGGGGGTAAGGTTGTCAAAAAATCGAAAGGGGTGAAAACTAATGTTGTCAAGAATAAAATTGGGTTCGAAGATTATTTGAATTGTTTGAAGAATTTCAGAGAACAAACAGTGTCTCAACGTACTATCCGTTCATATGCCCACAATGTGTTTAGCATTCAACAATCAAAAATTGCTCTGAGTCCCAAAGATGATAAACGGTATTTGATTCCAGGTTCGTTTGACACATTGCCATGGGGTCATACACAGGCAAAAGAGTAATTTTTTCATGTGAATCAACTCATCGAACATTTATAAAGAAAAAAAAACTCATACACCTACACTTACACTCCTCTGTTTTAGATTTAGAATTATTATTTGGGCTTAAAGAACGATATGACTGAACAAATATAGAAATAGAAACTTGATAACAATTAAACGTTGATAATGCATGTTTAGCGAACAAAAAATATGTTCTCAACAATATAAGAACCACCACGAGGAAAAATATAATAAACAGGACGATTAAAGACCTGAATCAGATGAAATATTTGAGAGACGTATGACTTTACATTATAACAATGAATAGGTTCTCGACTGCGATATCTGAAATCAATATGGTTAGCGACGATCTGTGAAAAAGCCAACAATCAAGAAAAAATACATCCCACCATTGAAAATAAATAGTACTCCTAAGGATGAACACGCAAATACATTGATATGCGCACAGTTTCAATGTTTGCGAAATATCAATAAAGAATGGGGAACCGTGAATAACCTATATTTTCATGTTATCTTTCATAAAGCTAGTATTTTTTTTCAGAATATGTTTTTTCCTATGAAAATGTAATACTTGTTCTGGCTATTAATGTAAATATAAAATATGCTGTCTATCTATCATCAATAAAATAATTATTGAAATTTTCTGTGTATCATTGGGATGGGTAGTGCGTGTAAGAGAGAGTGAGAGGGTAAAAAAGTGAGGAGAAGAGAGAGAGAGAGAGAGAGAGATTGGATGGATATTAGTTGAAGGTATGGATGTGAAAAACAGTTGTATCATGTCTTCTGACGAATACAGACGTGCACTAGAAGAATTTGGGTTGAAAGTTAGGAAGCTCAGTGCAGACATCCAATTGTATGAGCAGAAAGTTTGTTTGTTCAAAGATTTCGAGCAATTGAGTATTTGGGACAAGGTAATCACAGAACCAAGACGTTCAGTTGCAACGTTTCCTGAAAGCAAGCTTCATTCTATTGACAGCTCTGAGCAACAACGTCTTCTACACAAACATACCATATGATACGAGGAATGCAGCCATATGTTTTGATATGAATCGTACACAACAATGTGATTGGAAGATGATGAAAAGAATGCATGTCAATGATAACAAACTACCTGTATATTCAATCGACATGCCTCGAGTCAATGGGACCACCATCGACTACAAATTGAAATTATCATTTTCTGATGGCAGTGACGGCGAAACTGAGACTGGCAGACATTTACATTGAAGAAATCACCCGCAAAATTAGATGATGATCAAGATTCTGTCAATATCATTGCAATTTTAACACTTTGTTGTACACTAATATGTTCACTCATTTTAGTCTCACATGTTATTTTCATTATACTGAGAAATAAGGGATGTGATGAATAAAAACTCTGAAATTACGATATATAGTTTTTTATTCAGGCATTGAATTACATAGCCAATCATATGAAGTATCGACATTGTGAAGACTGCACTGGAACCTTCCTCCGCGGAAATGATTCATGCAAGGTGGAATGGATTGTTGAAACGTTATTGGTTGCCACCAAGAATTGTCAAAATCTTCTAAATTCACAATGTGATTGGTCATCTCCAACTCTGCACATTTTCGCTGCAAGAATTGAATCTTCTGGTATCCTCTAACGTAGATGATATTTGTTTGCTGCAGGTTGTCTTGTAGTATTCCATCGAACTCATTTAAATCCACATAACCACTGGAATATCTCAAACCATGCACATAGCGTTCCAGGTGATTTGCCATCTTTTTATCTTCTCTGCTTGAACTCGAAAATTCTACAGATGGCCTGAATAGAAAATGACTCGTCTTTTTGCCAATGCGAATGGTCATTTCCTTTGGAATGAATTCACCATCAACCGTGAACCCTTGAATGTCAACCAGTGCGATCTCCATGACTCTTCGAAGCAAACTGACGTCTGACTGATGCAGCAACACCTAACTAGGCAATATTTCGAACAATTTCGCTGAATGGGAGATGTTCCATGATTTGATCGTGAATGATGATGCAATAGGCTTTGGTGTCGGGAGGCAAGCCTGTAGTCGCTTCAATGTCCAACTTCATGTCAACTGTTACTAGAGAGCGCTTTTCTTGACAGTTATGGTAGCTCTTGTTGAACTCTGTATAGTTGAAGTGAGCGTCAGCATATTGGTCTTTGGAAAAGTCCAATAGCATTCTTTCTTGCGGATAATAGTCGCTATTCAGAGCCAATCGTATGGATTTGATGTTGGCATTATCGAACAAGGTGACGTCTTCATGCAAATTATCGGCTTTTTTCGTTTGGAAAAATACTATAACATATCTTGGACTGTCCAATGCAGAACATGTCTTTATGGACCAGATTTCTATGGTAGATTCTTGTGTGAGTGCTGGTAGCTCGTGCAATTCCCATCGGCGAAACGGTATCATCATAGACTCATATGCTTTGATACGTGTCAACAACTGCAACTTTATGTCATCGTTGGGTGTGAGATGTGGCACTTTCAAATTGATGCTCTCTATCGTTATTTTAGCAATACTTTGAGTCTGAGGAGATCCTTGCAAAGCAGTTTTCGCTCTCTCGACAACCTTCACACTATTGGTATCATTGCGAGCTCTCACTGAACGGATTGACTGCTTGCCCCACGTTGCCACTTGATGATCATTGAAGATGGAAAACAAATGTTTCAGTGGAATGTTCATGCTGAACGTACCATCGGTGTTGAGGATCGGAGCATTGGGATAGTTCCAGCCTGCTATGGCTAGATGACGTGAGTCTTCAGGTGTATAACACAAGTATCCTCGCACAGTACTCGTTATTCCAGGATATCTGACAGTGTCCAATTCTTTATTACATAGTTTATAGGTGCAGGAATCGAAGATATAAGCTCCAGCATTGTGGGTTAATGTACCAGTACCACCACCGGTCACCTTCAATTTACCCTTGATGGTAATGATACTTTCAAACATGGCCAAACACGAATCTGCTTGATTAACCGTTATATCGATGACATCATTGTTCTCGAATGACTTCACATATGGATAATAGGTACGCCATTCCACTTCAGTGATGCTTTCGTCGAGTCTGGGTTTGCGGAAAACGTCGAACACGGGTGCTAACAACATTGCAGTCTTTGAGTGATTTCAGAAACAGGACACTGGATAATGTCAATGTTTTTCTGTTGCTGCTGCTGCTCTTCGAAGACACGACTGCTTTGGTGTACGGTGTCGAGAGAACTGGTGCTGATGATGTTGCTGATGATGGTATATTATCTGATTTATAGGAGTAATCAAACACTAGTACCATCTTGCGAGTTTCTTCAATTCCAATCTTATTATGATTTCTTCACCTCTAAAATTCACCTGCCTGAAATCTTGGTCTAGAATCTGGAGTGTAATGTTGGGCAATTCCCGCCTGCTGACTATGGGTAGATAAATTAGATTACTGGGAGTCTCGTCTATGGCATAACCAGGATCGACTGCAACTGCAAACTCGTAGATCGTATGTGATGGTCTGTCGTTGTAGAGAGCTCCAGCAGTAACGTTGCTATCAATGTGAATGGTTCTCACTTTGGTTATGCTGATCGGCAAATCGGAAGTGTGGACTTGTTGTGCGTTCAACAATCTATTCGAAAATCCCAAGACTTGAGCTATGCTATCCATTGGACGAAAATCGATGGCAAACCTTTGGCTCGAAATCTCACTTCAACGAGAATATATCATCAACGTCCATTGCACTTGAGATGCCCAATTCTTTGCGTATGAATGTCTCAATGTCCACAATGTCGTATGAACCTTCGGGAATATCGATGATCTTTCCCGCCTTGGTCTTATCTTGCAGATAAAACTTTGATCCTTTGTCGATATTTGGTATACTGTTGTATGAATGGAATCCCAATAATGCTAGTCCGTAATCAGAGTCTGGATCGAGACTGATGCACAATGACCGAGTTACTTGATCTCATTGAGAAGGAACTCTAGACATAGACGTCCACAATTACTTTGATTGAAATTTTGGTATTGATTGTTATTGTACAAGATTTTCGTGCTGGCACCCAAATATTGCGCCAATTCTCTGGGCGGTTTCAGATTACCATAACTATCGAAATATAAGGCTTTTTCATCATTTTTCATGTGAGCCACCCAATGAGTGCCCGCATGATTGGAGGTATCCAAATTCAATACAGCACACTCGCGATGCCATGGACCGGTGGAAGGTAGAGTGTCCCGCATAAAAACACCTCGAAAATACGGTAATTTCAGCTGTTTGGCATACTTTATCACATCTTTATCGTACATTGATTTATTGGGTAGCTTGTCTAGAAGTTTTTTGAGTTTTTTGATTGTTTCTTCAAGTACAGTCCGAATCCTCTCGATGTTTTGCGTAGAAATAGGCCGGAACCCTGCTTGCCGATAGCCTCCATTGCTTCATTATGTCTTTGATCTTCTTCGAGCTTTTTCTTTGCATTTTTCGCATCAATGACTGTCTTTGCGACTGCTCCGGCTCTTTCAGCTAGAGATCCTAGAGCTCCCAAGGCGGCAAAGATTGGTATCAATGGTAGTATACCGCCACTGTGTGGAAGAGGTATAATTCTTGGTACTCTGATTCTTTTTTTACCGCCAGCCCTCTTGACTGCCAGTCTGGCTGCATGGAGTGCTTTCAATGCAGATTTATTCAGACCACTTCCTGATGTTGTACTACCACCACCACCACCATCTGACTTTGATAGTACATTTTTTATGAATTTGATAATGTTGGATAGGGATTGCTGTGATACAAGACCCATGCCAAGTTTTCGTTTGACCTTCATTCCGGTGGTGACAAGCCAAGCAGCAGCCTTCTCTTTGAATTAAGCGTTCTTCGACTTGACTCTCTCCCACGCTCAATTTCCAATATCCAATCAGCTTTGTGCCTGTCTTCTATTGATGAATTTTGTGAATAGGCGATATCGTGTACTTGACACGCGTCGTCCAACGGATCGATACCGGTGTCTCCTCTTGCAAGTCTTTTATCGAGTTTGGTACCTGGACCACAAAATCTGTAGCCTGGAATGTGTAATTCGATGGGAAGTTTATCGATCAGAGAATTAAGAACACCCTCTCCGTGGTAGAGCAACATGAAGACTGACGTGTAGGAAGTTCGACAACTCTGCATATACCTAATGAAATGAAAAATATATCATCACATGATGAAGATCATTCAACAAGAACGGATGTTACCCATTGTGAATTTGGATAAAATTTTGTCAACCAAACCACCAGTAAATAGTAAACATGAGAAACTGCTTCCCCATTCGTTCAGAGCAATCTTCTGCGGACCAAGCGGGTGTGAAGAAACCAATGCGATGCTTTCCCTGCTGTTCAATCCAAATGGCGCGACATTCAAGAACGTTTACGTGTATTCAAAGTCGTTGTACCAACCGAAATATCAATTGCTGCATCAAGTGTTGGATTCAGTGAAAGGTGTTGGGTATTTTCCCTTTAAAGAAAATGATGATGTCATCAGTCCATCAGAAGCGAAAAATCATTCGATATCCATTTTTGATGATGTATCATGCGACAAGCAGCAAAAAATCCGAGAATATTTTTCAATGTGTAGACACAAGGATATTGACGTAGCATACCTATGCCAGACTTTTTCTAAGATACCGAAGCAGCTGGTGCGAGACAACAGTAACCTGTTGGTGTTATTTCGACAGGATGAAATGAATTTGAAGCATGTGTTCGACGAGCATGTCTCACCAGACATGTCATTCGATCAATTTAAAGCATTGTGCTCAGAGTGTTGGAATTCCAACCAATATGGTGCGATGGTGATTGCAAAAACTTTCGATATGAATGCTGGCAGATATAGAAATGGTTTCGATAAGTTCATAAGACTGTGATCTCTGGACCATTCATCAAGATGACGTCAACCAAGATGCATGATGATGTTGCTGATGCGCTGCGCAAGAAAAAAATCAACGAACTATCGAAATCAATCAGAAGAAAATATTTAGCACTAAAATTGGGCAAGTCTGAGGATGATGATGCGTTACAGAAAATATTCCAACCATTGACATCACTTTTGAAACAAATTGCCTCCGCGTCCAAGGTCATAGAAGAAAAACTCGATGGAACACTTTCAAACATCAAGCGAAGCAGAGCAAAGTCGTTGGGGTTGAAGAAGGAGAAGAAGAAGAAGAAGAAGGAGGCAGAGGATGGGGAGGTGGAGAGGGAGCAATCGGATTTGAATCAAACTAATTTCATACCTATGATGGATGTGGCTGATAATGCTAGGCATACTGAAGATGATGATGAGGATGGTTATGACGATGCTGATGATGAACATTTTGTAGATAGTGAAAATATCTCACCGGCTGCAATACATGATTACGTTGATCAGTATCCTGCGATGGCTCAAAAATATCTGACTGAATACTGGACAAATGATGAAAATATCGATACGGTTTATGGTCCCAAATATGATCCAGTAACATCGAAATGGTCTCTCAACGGAAAAGAAATGAATTTTCATCGGAGAACTGGAGATATACTTCTTGATGGCTTTCGGTTCCGTGGCACCCCAGGCCTCTATCAATTACTCTTCTATAATGATCCATCCTTTGCCAAAGATGATACGCACCCATACAAGCAAATACTCTTGCTCACCGAAGCTCATCTGAATTCTGCAGGACGTATAAAGTCTTCCTCTAGACTCAAATACGTAGAAATTATTCGTCCAATGTTCAGATCCAATTCCAGTGTTCGTGGTTTGAAGTTGACATACAGCACAGCACCTATCGAATACATGTATTGGGATGATCCAAACGAATTGGTAGATAGATTGAAGTTGCTCATTGCATCACAGCAAGCCGGGAATACATCAAACGATAACGAGATTGTTGCCATCTTGAACGAATTAGAAGAGGCAAGCATAATAAAACATGTGTGATGATTCGGTGACATTTTCGTGTTCCGTGATACTTCCGTGACACTTCCTTGACACTTTCATGACACTTCCTTGACACTTCCGTGACACTTCCTTGACACTTCCGTGACAGTTCCGTGACACTTCCATGGCATGTCTATGAGTGAAGGGGCTAATAATTGGCGAGGCAAAGTGCCGACCATTATCGATAACGTACAATACTTTAGTCATTAGCATAATGAGTCTCGACAAATTCGGACGTGGTTCGTTTCCACGCTCAGCTCAGATGGTGACAGTCAGATCTGGATTTCCACATACTCCAACCGGTGATATTGATGTTGGTCATTTGAAGATGTGTAACGTAAAACTGCCAACAGATGCCGCTGATGTTGCAAACAAACAATATGTGGATGAAGTTATATCGCAAATAGAGTTGGATTTCAAGATTGCTTTCGATAATTACGGTGGAAAAATCCGAAATTACCTTGCTGGCTTCAGCAACGAAATAATCGAAGAAAGGAAGAGAGTGGATGTACATGATCTTAAACTGACATCGTACAATACAAACTTTGTTCAGTTGTCTGGCATAGTGCACAAGATCAACAAACATGTGTGATGATTCGGTGACATTTCCGTGTTCCGTGATACTTCCGTGACACTTCCTTGACACTTCCATGACACTTCCT